ACATCCGATCTATGGAACGAAACATGATAGAAAGTTGGAAAGGCTGAACTTGTCGAGAGAAAGTGAGTCTTGCACGAAGCTGGAAGATTCTTGAAGGATGTGCTTTGATGAGAACATTTCAGAGATTTCAAGGACTTCGAAATTTCCCGAGGAATTATTCAATTATTTTTCAAGAAGGAAATTCAAGACTTCGTGATTCCTTTCAGGTGAGGTGAGAGACATGAAGTTTCTATGTCTCAATGGGACAGTTTTCGACCAGGAAACTCGGGTCTGCGAGAGGCTCGATGAAGTGAATTGTCCGGAATCTGAAAGATTCTTTTATCTGAATCTTGAGCTTTATCATCCTCCAACTGCCGTCGACTACGATTAGTAAGTTCAAACCCATTTACAAACCTATTATTCTGGCATTTTTCTGAAAATCTGTTATGAACGCGCGATTAATTCATAAAAATGCGTGTTTTTTACGCTTGTACTGCTTTAATTTATCTGCGAACAGGCCGTTTTCGATTATAATCTATATGTAGTGTACTACACAAAGGATTCATAAATACCTCACAAAAATGTTTGAAGAAGACAAGATATTTTCCGTCGGGAATCCAAATACTGTCGAAGCCGCTGGGGAAGATGAGAGGGAAACTTCCCAGCCGTGAAGATTGTGACTGTTTGAAAATCGAGAAGATCTTTATTTACTGCATTTGTAAAAAAGTACTTCTAACAATTCGAAGGCAGAAAAAAAAACAGATTTGAGGATGCAAAACCCATGACGAAGAGCCCTCCGCATTTGTTCTCGAGGAGAATTTCCCAATAGCCTTGTGGGTTTTTACGATCCCAACGGTCCAGTTAATGGCTTTCTCCTGCGGGAGGTTCATGAAGATAAAAACTGGCGATGAGATTTGCCTCAAGAATCCGCGGTACGTGGTCAGCAAAATCGTGAATTCACATCAATGCCATTTTGAAACGCATCATTCAGATAGAATTTAGCGGGAAACTCAATTGCATCAGAATTCTGCTCCTCTGTGGTATTTTCCCTGCTCAGCATAAATACGGTACTCAACTTTTAATAGTTTACGCGCAAATAAAAGTGATCACTCATCATTCCCAGCAAACGCATAATTTTTGGTTTTCTTTACAGAAGAAACACAAACTTGCTTTCAGAGAAGTCATACTGGTGCTTGACCATGGACATAGTAGAAACTATTACTGTACTGTGTATCAGTTATCCCGGATCTCAACATTTCAAAAACCGAGCTCAAAGTTCAATCCATTGAAGCACCTCATCTATATTGTACTGTAAGCCTATGAATCGATAAACTGCAAATTAAGGATTACCTATTAGGATTATTAAGAATTGTCTTTTGAAGGGCTTCAACACTCTGAGGAAGATAATGATGGTTTTCTGATGTACAAGAAAACTAATCGAAAATAGAAGCTGCCAAACGGAGTATTCAGCTTTCTGATGGAGACCTCTCAAAGCTGTTCTTATTCATTTTTCCGTGGATAATTTCGAAACAAACTTGATTTTCATTTTTGCAGCTATTATTACGACGAGTACGCGGAGCAACAGTCGACATCAAACAAACAAGAACGAGGCATAAACGGTCGTTCGATAGGAAGCTTTGAGAATGACGAGAACCGAAATCGTGACAATGGAGCAGAAACTGTAGAGCATCTCACTTACACATCTCACGAGTCCCGGGAATTGTCGACAGTGGGTGAAGACGACAGTGGACGACAGCCGAGGGAAGAGATCCCATCCGGGGTTTCCAGCAGAAGTAGAGAGAGACCCGAATCGGGTTTCGACAGGAGCTCATTGAGCAAGGAGAACCCGTACATCATTCGCAAAGATCAGTTGCCAAAAGAACCCGAGAACGAGCCGGTGGAATCAACTACTACGGCTGTGATCAATGAAGGTATGCCAGGTTTGCAGTCCACTTACAGCAGGAATTAGTGCAATCGTTCATTATCTTGGCTTTCCCACGGATGCCCAAGTCCTATTCTAAATGATTGATCTTAAAAACGTCGATTATTACATGGAATTGAATTTCAGAGGACCATCAGGAACATTTTTTGTATGGAGTTCTGCTGTTCACTATTCCTTTACGGTGAAGAATATTAGAAAACTGTATACAATGCGAAGGAGTTTTATTTGGATTCGTCGATGAAACTTTCAAACAATCTGAAGCATGATTCATACAAATAATTATTCAATTTTACGGAATTCGGAACAAAACGATTGTATTTTCAATAAACGCAGTTCCTTTTGTGTTCAGCATCGTCCAATACCTGTATACTTTTCCCATCTTTGGTGCAAACATTTTTTTTTTCATTTCCTTTACGAATTATAAATCAGCATACTAAGATGCAGTATGAAGACGATAAATATCATAATAACTTGTTCATGATCTTTTTCCGCAAAAAAACAAGGAGATTACGAGATGCTGGTTTCGGGTTGGCGCCTTCGTCTTCGTCTCTAAGCAGTTCAGTTGAGTCTTAAGCTGCAAGGGTCTTAAGGCAAGTCGGTCTTGTTATTGTGCACCTATAAGCAATGGTTGCCATTCGGCATTCTCCCTCGCCTGAAGCGTCAAACAGAGCCCGAAACCGAATCCGACGTTGACAATAATGAGGACGAAGAAGCACAAAAAGACCCCAACAACACTACCAACTCCAACAGAAGCAACGGTGGACGACGGCGTCGACGTCGCAGAAAGAAACTGAAGCGTCCTCTGCGAGAGAACCCTTACAATGGAGACGACGCCATTGTCGACGATGCCGAAATTGCAAAACCGTTGCTCTCACCGAGACGCAACCAGGAAGCGTCTTTCCTCATTGGAGATGAAGAACCCGTCACTGAACGTCAGAAATTTGTTCCTCGGGGACGGAAACCGCAAAAGGTTGTTAACGGACCTCCGTTTGCCGAGTCTGGACTGCCCTAGGGCTCAGATTGGCTAGGACTCCAAAAGGCGCAATCTGGGTGAAACCTTCGACGGTAGAACAGGTCGTCGCTTTTCGGCAGCACAAAGAGCTTACGATTGGAAAGCTCAGATGCTGGCAATGTTGACCAGCCCAATGACGTGGAAGAAGATGACAATAATTCTTCTGCAGGGGACAATGAGATACAAAGAACACCCACTACTATACAAAGAAGGTAAATAATTCTGCGTGCTGCCCCTAAAAAATACATTTTATTCTCTTTATTTGTTGACAAATGTTTGCAAATTGATTCACGTTCATTGTGAATGATTAATTCATAGCAGTTTTTAATTTTTTTCTGCTCTAATTTTTTTTCTCTTGAACTTTCAGAGCGGTAATTGATTCTTTCCTGGCCACTGCTCCAATTTTTCTCCCCGATTTTAAATTGGGAGAAAGAATCAAATTTTAAATTTACCCAGTAGAATCAATTAAAAAATGCTCTTTGTTAATGATTTGATTACGACTCTACACACTTGTGCTGTACATTACAGTGATATGAAATAATGGCATTGATTCAAAATATTTTTCAATACTCTTTTAAACCTGGCTACCAGCATGTTCAAATGAAAAATCTCCTGGCATTGTGAACAATGATATGATGAAAATATTCACTCAAATTTTAATTCATTAGCATTGAATAAGGTCTTCTTAAAATCACATCCGAATCTATGAAATATTCCAAGAAAATCAACAGAAGCTTGCATCAAGTTGATGACTTGAAATATTCTGACTCAAACGGTGTGCCTAAATAAACATTTTGAAGCATCAAATAATACAAATTTCAAGAAGCTTTTTAAATAACCTCTTCTCGTGAAATTAAACATACTATAATTTATCCCGATTTCCAAATCTATAATTTCAAATCAGATTCAAAACAGCAGGGAAATATGCTGAGCTTTTTACATAGCTTTTTCCTTTAAACTTTCAAAAAGTTAGTGTGATGTGGATAAGATTCAAATCTTGAGTGACTGAGAATCATTTATTTATTTTCCTAATGTAAATGTACTCTTCCATAACTATAATTGTGAGTAAACGCCAGCCTTGCGTTTTCCAACAATTGCCTGGAGGCAAACGGCTCAGACCTGACGGGATCCCGAGTCTAACCGATCCTGAGGTTTTCCGCGTTAGACCCACTTTGGAAGCTGCCATCTTGTCCAGCAGCGAAAAGCCAAGCACAAAGAGCTTACGATTGGAAAGCTCAGATGATGGCAATGTTGACCAGCCCAATGACGTGGAAGAAGATGGCAATAATTCTTCTGCAGGGGACAATGAGATCCAAAGAACACCCACTACTGTCCAAAGAAGGTAAATATAATAACTCTGCGTGCTGCCCCTAAAAAATACATTTTATTCTCTCTATTTGTTGACAAATGTTTGCAAACTGATTCACTTCATTGTAAATGATTAATTCATAACAGTTTTTTATTTTTTCTGCTCTAATTTTTTATCTTGAACTTTCAGAGCGGTAATTGATTCTTTCCTGGCCACTGCTCCAATTTTGCTCCCCGAGTTGAAATTGGGAGAAAGAATCAAATTTTAAATTTACCCAGTAGAATCAATTAAAAAATGCTCTTTGTTAATGATTTGATTGCGACTCTGCACACTTGTGCTGCACATTACAGTGATATGAAATAATGGCATTGATTCAAAATATTTTTCAATACTCTTTTAAACCTGGCTACCAGCATGTTCAAATGAAAAATCTCCTGGCATTGTGAACAATGATATGATGAAAATATTCACTCAAATTTTAATTCATTAGCATTGAATAAAGTGTTCTTAAAATCACATCCGAATCTATGAAATATTCCAAGAAAAGCAAGAGAAGCTTGCATCAAGTTGATGACTTGAAATATTCTGACTCAAACGGTGTGCCTAAATAAACATTTTGAAGCATCAAATAATAAAAATTTCAAGAAGCTTTTTAAATAACCTCTTCTTGTGAAATTAAACATACTATAATTTATCCCGATTTCCAAATCTATAATTTCAAAACAGATTCAAAACAGCAGGGAAATATTCAGAGCTTTTTACATAGCTTTTTCTTTTAAACTTTCAAAAAGTTAGTGTGATGTGGATAAGATTCAAATCTTGAGTGACTGAGAATCATTTATTTATTTTCCTAATGTAAATGTACTCTTCCATAACTATAATTGTGAGTAAACGCCAGCCTTCACTAATAAGTCCGTTTTTAATTCATCCTCCCTTTTTTCCTTCAGATATAAAGAAACTACTACAAGCTCAACTGCTTTAACTTCTACCAGCACCACTTCGACCCCCTCTACCAACCCGCAAACCCCAACCCCTGCAACAGGGAAAACAACGGGCCTCGAAATTTCAGCAGACGAAAGTTCTCCGGGTGGAAGCCTGGAAGTTTCAGAAATTCTCAAGAAAAATACTCCCCAGCAACGGAAATTTCTGGAAGCTGCCAGAACCAGTACGAACAAAGAAGAACAAGTTGAGAACATTCTCAAGGCTCTAGGAGTCAAGCCGATCAAGAAAAGTATCTTCAGAAAGTCTTCCTCACCAGCAGGAATATTCAAGAAAATTCGCACAACTCAGCAACCTTCAAGCTCAGCTTCTCCTTCGTCATCAATAATTCCACCGTCAACAAGTGAAAAGGCTTCACCGGAAGTGTCTTCTTCTACGGAAACATCGGAAAAACCCCGACGAAGAAAGGTTCTGGTGGCCAAAAAACGTATCTTTGAGAAAACTAGAGATCAGAAAGAGCGCAAAAGCTCGGGGGGACTTTATTTCAACAGCAACTCATCATCGTCAGAGGAAGAACCTCGAATAAAACCCGGGGCTTTCAGCAGAAGGATCAGATCAACGACCCCTTCGTCTTTCGAAGCAACCCAAGAATCTTCCGAAAGATTCGTGCCCAGGGGTCGATCTCGACAAGCAGCAACCCCTGAGCAACCCTGGGAAGTCACAGACCCGACCCCTTCACAAGCAACCCCAACGCAAGAACCCTTGATCGTGGTTTCCATTCCATTTCTGCCCACGAATCAGCAATTTGCCCCTAGACCCACGGACACTCCTTTTGTCGTCACCAGTTCCTCGTCATTCAATCAATTAATCACCACTACGACTGAAATCAATACTCTTGCTGCTGCTCCGCGTTCTCGGACGAAATCTAGCAATCCGAATGTTTTGAAGAAAATCCCCATTGAAAGCTTCGACGATGACGTGAATGATGATGATGAAGTTCAACGAACGTTAATCAAAAGTTTTGATCGGAGAAAGTTCTCTGAAAACTTTTTGAAAAGGCTCAGGACCAGGAGGAAAGAAAATACTCAGAAAACAGCTTTCAACCCACCGAAAGTCACTAAAAACAGGAATAATAGGAGAGGAAGAGTTCGAAGTACAACTACTTCAGCAAAAGAAACTAGTTTCATTGAGCAGGAAACTACTCCTAGTTCATGGCCTGTTTCCGTCAGTGAAGTGTCACCGGAATCAATAACCACAGAATCCGCTGATCAATTCTGGACATCGACTTCAGCACAACAGAGACCGATTCCTACTACGACTACATTCACCACCACAACAACTACAACACCTAGAAGAACAGCCATAACAACCACTCCTAGAAAATGGCAGAAACAACGTCAAAACTCGAATCCATTTCAATCCGACGATGATGCGACTGCAGAACAAACAGCGGGGGAAAAATCCCAAGCGAGGCAACAATGGCAACAGCGACAAGTGCAGCTGCAACTCATAGAATTGCAAAGAGAAACGCAGAATTTGCAATTGATTTTGCAGCAAAAGCAGCATCAGAATTTATTGCTGGTTGAACCCTTGAGAGACTCAAACAGGGAAAACGAGTTCGATGACCAAGGGAATAGAATCCGGTCCGTGTCACAGGCGCCGAATAGGGGAGAAACTATTGACCCTGACGTTTTCCAAGATATTTACAATGCAGTTTCAAATGAGGAATTTGGCAGGAGATCAGTGGAAAAACCCGAGTGGAGAAGCCCTGAGGTTATTATTAGCAACAACGACATTGAAAATAATGGGGAGGAACGGCAAAGGTTTTCCATGATGGTGAGATAAATCTTTCTTTTTTTTATTTGCAGAAAAAAAACAGAATTTATGCGCCAAAGGTTTGGCATTGTAAACATTTTTACAGTGTATTTTGCAAAGGAGTGTTGTTGAGGACAAACTTTCAGAAACAAAAAGTTGACTGGCGGAACAAAAATATATTTCTTATTCAGTGAATCACACAACAAAATTAAAATACATTAATAATGAATTATGATACAGTAATTGATTGTTCTTCTAAAAAATTAGACCTTCCCTGTACTTGAATAAAAAATGTGTAACCTCGATCCTTTACTTTTTACGAGGGTTACTTCAAGAATCAAAGAATGCAGAGTTGAAGAGTATTTTTGATAAAAAAAAAAATGAATTTACTGACCAAACTTTGTTTCAACGAGTTCAGATCAGATATAAATCTTTGAATTTAAGCAAGAATTTTCAAACTATCTTGGTTCAAAACTAAAAGAAACCTCTCCTTTGGAAAGGTGGGTGGCTTGAATAAAACATTAATTTTTCAAAACATCTACAATATTTTGTTGATTGTATCTTGAAATGAATGAGGTTATCTCATTTTATATATGGTTGATGAGAACAACCCTAAATATCTTTTTAATTCTCAGGATGTTGAGATCTCAATTCTCAGGGTGTTGAAAAGAATTGAAGAAGGTTCAGCTTGAATAGTGATTCAGGTGACACCTGCCTGACTTTACAGAACAGAATAAATTTCACAAGAGAGAAAGATGTCATTCCTTTCCTTCTTTTTCCTCAGCCCAAGAACATTCAGCAAATCAGAGACCTGGATAAACCTATGAGAGTCACAGAGCATCAAGTTCAACCACCATCTTTCAAGTTTCCAGGTGCTCCAGTCACTTTGCAGCCACCAGCATCCATCATAGAGCAAAATCTTCAAAATGGAGGAGGTTTGTCCACCTCTCGGCCATATGCGGATGATCGCGACTTCATCCTCAGTGTTCCAATAATTGAGGAACTGCCTTTGCGCAACCAGCAAGATGATTTCAGCAATGACTCCGGAAATACCTTGGAAAACCAAGATTTCGATGACTCGAACACATCGGACGATGCTGACGAGGGTCTGAGAAGCGTGAGTTCAGAAATATAGTTTCAGATTGAATCGCGTGAAAATTATAGAGTTGCTTTTATTTTCATCTTACAGCGTGCTGAAGAAGAGGTTTTCTCGCAACAATTCAACAACGATTTCCGGAATTTCGATCAAGGTGATGGGAATTTCGGCAGGACCATTAGACTGGGTGCTGTTCCGCAGTTGCCTCAAGGACGCACTGACAATTTTGCTATCAGTAAGCATTATTCAAAATATATATGTTTCTTTCAATTGAAATACTGTATTTTAAAGCATATATCACTGCTGATCCATCGTATTTTACAGGTGCTGTCGGAAATCAAAACCAAGACCAAGAAAACATCCCGAGGATTTCAAGGAATGAAGGCAATAATGTTAGAGTTGGGAAGAATAATGTATTTCCGGTTGAAAATAGTCGGAATTCTGCGATAAATGCTCAGACAGTTCTGGAAAATCCTCCAGTCTTTTCGCCGGTTTTGATCTCCAGAAAATCTTTCACTCGCACAACTTTGTCTCCGAACAACGACCAATTTATAGTGAGTCAAAAAATAGCATTATTTAAATTGTATTCATGTTTCTAAAATAATAATTTTTTTTAATTCCCCAGACTCCAGCTCCGGTGGCTGTTATTCAAGAAGTTTTCAAACCACCGACACTCGTTGTAACACAAAAGAAAAGTCAAGCGAAAGCAGCAAAAATTAGCTTGTTCAGCAAAAGTTTTGGACAACGGGAAATTCCGAGATCGCAGCAAAAACTGCAGCAACAAACCTCAACATCTCAGCCATTTATTGAGCAACAAAACCAGCCATTTAATGGACGACAACAACAGAACGAGCAGCAAACAAATATTTCAGACAATCCAGCAACTGTTCAACAGAACCGAAATTCACTGAATTCCCAAAACCAGCGGCAGAATGCTCCATTTTTCCAAAATCAGCAACAGCAGCAACTTCCGGAGCAAAATTTCCAGCCGGTGTTCCAAAAACAACAAGAAATTCCTCTTCAAGAGCCGTTTACTTCTGTTTTCCAACCAGCTCAAACTTCTTTCACCCAAAAACCGTCCTTCCTGCAAAATCGGCAGCGGCAATTTCAAACGTTTCAAAACGCGTCGAATTTTATTGAAGGAAATCCAATTTTGCCATCGACTTTCAATCAACAGCAGCCAGCCGATTTCCAGTCGAATGCTAAACAAAGCATCCCATCAGAAATAGGTTCCAAACAACAGTTTCCAGAGAATTCTCTTTCAGTTGTCGACAAAAAGGTGGCAAATGTCATCAACAATTTCGGTGAGTTGGAGTGACTGAATTTTCGAAACGAATTTTGATCAAGTTTTGCGATTGACGTATGATATGCATAAGCTTCACTGAAGAGTGCAAAAAACCAGCGAAAAATGAAAAAAATATTGCATAAGAAAAAGAGGACCAGAAAATTACCATTACTTTCGTTCAGATTAAATTTTTCGCATCATTTTTCTGTCAATGTTTCGCAGAATAATCTAAGCCCCACAAAATTTGTGCAGTTTTGTGCATCAAGAGTTGGAAACGCGCGGGGGAAAATATAAATTCCAATTCGAAAAAATTTGCACGGAGTAATGAAGGTAATTTTCATGGAAATTGATCGAAGAATGGGTTCATTGAGTCAAAGAAAAAGAATTTTGAAGAACTTCTTTTTGGATCATTGCTCATTACTTTAGTTTGGACCGCGATTTTCTTAATAATTTCGAAAATTCTTTAATTTTATTCCTCTAAATTGGCACAGGTGCTCAAGTCAAACGAACACTACGCTTCGGAGCGAAGCAATTCACCACGACAAAAGCTCCTACTACAGCCACAGTGACTCAGTTGCCGGTCAGCGTTTCGCAGAACAATTTCGCCAGGAACCCGTGGAATTTCGCTGTTCCGAACAATGGACTGCAATCCCTGTGGTCCACGACATCGACAACATCAACAACACCTAAAACAACAACAACAACAACAACAAGAGCACCAGTACCCACAGCAACAACATCTTCGCCCTTCACACAAGCCGTCGCTCCGAAAACGATTGGCTTCGGAAGTTTAGTGCAGAAAATCCCGCCGGCTCCGCCAAAATCTGCGACGAAGACCAAAACAAATTCGTCGCCTTCTGTGCAATTCAAGTCGAATGACCGTCAAAGTAGGGATTATGAAGACAATGAATCGGACTACAACAATGACGATTTTCCGCCGACGAAAGTTGCGTATCCGACGTACGACTTTAATAGGTTGCCAGACACTTCTTTCTCGTGTGTCGGGAAAGTTCCTGGAAAGTATTATGCTGATCTGGAAACTCGGTGTCAGATGTATCATATTTGCTCACAGAGCAGAGCCAAAGGACGCATCATAGACTACAGGTGAAAAAAATGCACAATATATCTGTAACAAAATCAAGCTAAGTAGCTTCGAATTTGTTGGCGACTATAGCTTCCCCAGCGTTTGGATTTTTTTTTAGGTCAGGTAGATGTCGCCTGTATTTTTATGAGGCATCATCCCGCTCAATAAGTTCCAGCAGCTTATTTTTAATTCGACCAGCTTAGATCAGCTGGTCATGTACAATTTAAAATGTTCTTCTCCTTGATTTCCCCCTTGTGCTATTTTTCTCATTTGCATGAGTCAAATGCTCAAATCTAATGTATATTTTTCTTTTAACCTTTTTTGCAAAGACTAAACCAGAGCAGGTTATGTTGACACCAGTTCGAATATGGCTCAATGTCATAAAATGAACCAGAATCTTACTTTTGATGTGCAACTGAACTCTCTCTCTCTCTCTACAACAATCTTGTCTACAACAATTTTCTCTGCATTACAATTTATTTTTTGGAACCAAGAGGCTCTATCTCAATTCTGTAGAGGTTGTTTGCAACAGTGTTCCACAACATTTTTGGGTCCGCAGACTAGCAAATTTCCATAACATGTCCATAACATGTTCCATATCATGTCCATAACATGTTTAGAGAGTCCAGGCGACATCTGCCCCAATAACCTACTTATAGGGTTAGATCATTTTCAAATCAAAATTATTTTTTTATCTTACGATCACCAAACTTTCTGGACTCCGATTTTCTTTATCACGATATGATTTTTCGTGCGTTTTTTGTTGGCTTTTTTGCGGAAGTCCTCTAGCTTGATTTAATTTGTAAATGCTGTAATTTATTTTAAGGTTCCTGTGCACAAACGGAACTGTGTTCAACGAGCTCATTTCCGGGTGCGATGCGTATGAAAGAGTGGATTGTGGAGGCGGTTTATCCATTTATTCCTTGTTGGATGACTTCTATCGGCCTTCAAGAGTGCCAACGGAAGTCGAACAACTAGAATTGGGCGTCGGAACTGCTTTGGGAAACAATAAACCCTCCCAGAACCCTGGCCAAGTGTGAAGCAACAAGAAAGAAAAAAATATTTGCGACGAATTCGTTTCGTCGTTTAATACTGCCGATGTCATGCCACTGGAAGCAAGTGATTTATTTATTTATTTTCCAATTTCATCTCATTCTATCTTAGTGGACTTGATCCATTCCTTTAGGAAGTACATCATCCGAGAAGCAAAATAAGCTTTGGCTGATGGATTCCAGTCCCCCAAAAATTCACTCAATGGCCTACGCAAAGGCTTACCTGTTTTAGATTCTTCAATACATTTACTGTATAAAGAATTCTAAATGAAAAAAATAATTCACCATAAAAATATCCGAAATTGGCGTGAAACACGGAAAAGCTGTGTTCCGCGTAATCAAGAAAGTCGAAACCATTTTCTTTGATTTAAAATTCATCCTGACTGCCACGTTTAAATAATTCATTTAAATATGGACTTTCTTGGAGCACAAATAAGATAGCCCAGAGTCAGTTTGTAACAGAACAAAAAAAAACCGATTTGTGAGGCGTCCATTCCTTTAATATATATTTGGGGCATTTTATTTGCTCTCCTTCGAACTGTTGATTAAAAGTAAATAGCGAGCATTTTAAATTAAAATTGAAATCACATGGCAGCTCAGTTTTATTTGAAACAGTCCTGTATTTTGACTACAGTCACCGAAATCACAACTTGAATACTGTACATGAATTCTGTAGTGAAAAAGCACAATTTTTAAATTCATTATAGCAGCTGTATTCCCATTTATTCGTGGTTTAAAAAAGTATTGGCAAGCATTTAAGAGTCGATTACGTCGGATTTTCGCATGATATCGTTCTGAAATTGTTTCGGAGAAATTTATTTTAAAATTCTTTTATTTGCAGGGGTGTTTTTTCTTGAAGTCAATGCCATGGATGGAGTCGAAAATGCCACTGGGAATGAATCAATTTTGTGTCCATTGATGAGTGGATGAGTGTTTATATAATGAAGCTCAAATAGGGCAATCATCGCGCTTGTGATACGAACTCTTGATTGTTCTGCCATCCGTTCGGTTATGCACAAAAGGCTGGAGAAAACCGAATTCAATCTTTGAATCAACTCGATTTCATATTTTCGAACTTCTCTTTTTTTGCTGTAAAATAATTCGAAAATGCTTTCCCGTTCTCTAGTCAATGACTGACCATTTTTACGTCTTCTTTCAGAAGTTACCCGACTACCAATGTACCAGTGTTGTTTTTTTTTTATTCGAACCCATGACTTGATGTGATATTTCTTCTGGAAGATGCTCTAACCAATATTTCCATTTTGTTTAAGAAGCTGTTGTCGTGGAATATTTTTGTAAAGTTCAGTAAAACGAGTATTATTGGAATTTTTTCCATTTGCTAATCGCTTGATTGTGCCGTTTTTCCTGTGTGGAATGGTTCATATGGTCGAGATTTTGCAGAAAGTAAAAGCATTGTAAAGTTCTGTGTGGTTTTATTACTATTGGTTGGCTTGGAAAGGGGAGCATCATTTGATTGGGGGTAGATCTGGATTTAATATTTTTCACACGTTCCAGAATCTTCGAGTTGATATCAGGCACATTGGAGACTTTTAGATCAAAACTTTAATCCAGGAAAAACGTTTCATTGAGTAAACTTTCGTAAAAAGGAAAGTTACTATGACAAAAAATGCCTTAACATTTGGGCTATTCGGCAGCGACCTAAAAAGAAAAATTGTCGCCAGCCATATTTCGTTATTACGAGATTTTTCTGTAATCGAATCAAAGCACCATCAATATCCAAAATAACCAACAACCCTCACGGGAAAATTTACCCCACTTGATATTGCTCAATTGTGTGTATATAACAAGCAATAGTGGGATGTCGGCTTAAAAATGCCCCGCGGCTTACAAACTTTTCAATTGACAAACTTTGCCTTTTGGCCTCAGCTAACAAACCATGACTCAGCTTACAAACCTTTTTTGGTAAAAAAAATATTGGGTCTAAAAAATTTTGCTAGCAAAGCCAGGGATTTAAGTTTCAACTTCTCCATTAATATATCAAAGAATGTCTCACAAAATTTGTGATGGATTGTTGGCAACTAATTTATATTTGGGTTAAAATTGAAGCAGTTTCATCATCAAATATTATGCGTATGCTGTAGAATGTCAAAAATGTGTCCATCTATGGTGCCTAACATTAAAAGATTTTCTCTGAACAAACTTATTGTACCTTGATTTAATTTGGCTTCATAGTGAACAACTGAAACAGATTAAACAATGCATAATGCAGGGATTTTTTCATGCGATTCAAATTCAAGTTTAAGGAACATTTTTACAGATTTGCCAAAAAACCCATCACTTCACAAAATAATTAGCCATAAAATTTCAGAAGGTTAGCAGCTGCATTTTGTGCTGTGTGAATAGGTTTTGAAATTTTTGAGAATTTCAATTTTTGTTATGTAATTGACATCAAATTGAAACATGTCTAACCAGCTGTGGTGTGTGCTTATCTATACAATATTTGAAGTCATTTGGGCAGGTTAGATTGGTTTAAAATCATTAGCTTTTTAAAATTTCCTCTTCTGGTGCTTGGAAATTTATTCTACAGAAAAAATCCTTTTCTGCTGCTTGGAAATTTCTTCTTCAGAAAAAATGGCAAGGAAAGTTTATTAATGTGTTTCTTTAATTATTTCTGACTTGTGAAATTATTTTCTCTCCTATGACCAAATGTTCAAAAGACAGCCCATAAATGCAATGAATGCTTTATTCATTATTGACAATTGCAGCATGAAAATAATCCATTTTGAGTCCTTGGTCTGTGGATGGCTTTCTGATTTGAATTTAAAAATGTAAAAACTCCTGGAAAAATCCCTTTAAAATAAATAATGAATGTTCAAGTGATCGTTGAATTGCAGTGAATTTATCTTATCTTCCACATTGACATTGAGAATATTCATTGGATTTCAGGCCTGAGAATATTTTTAGGACACATTTTCTCGATTTTCATGTCCACTTTCAAGGTCCAAGCACCAGCAATTAAAATCATTCCTGTCCTTTCTGAAGGGAAAATGCGATTTGGCTGACAAACTTTCCCTGGAGCCAACTAAGTTTATAAACCAAGACCCCAGTGTATCTGGAAAAGAACCGGAAGACAAATACAGAATTATAAATTTGGAAATCTCTTTCCAGAAAATTATTATATGACGTACGCAAGGTGAGAGAATTTCCAGACGTTTATTAAGCCTCTTCATCAGCACGTTGAAACAATAAAAACCTGTCGCTTTTTTGTCCCCCAAATTTAAAAAACTGCCTGAAATAAAAAACAAATGCACAAAATCACACAATTTCCAACAGATTATTCCGTAGAACAAAGAAAGCACAACAACCTACGAACATGTTCACAGCACAACACACAAAAAACCCATCCACAAATAAAGTCATCGGAAAAATTCGAACGAAATAAAAGCAAAATTGAATTTTCGAAATCTTTAAAAAAATAAGCCGGAAGCAACATTGATGATAACCTTCATCTTCACTTTACAAAAAAAGGGGACAAAATACTCATAGATCTAAAAGGAGAGAATCCGCCAACTATTTACGCGTATCACGTGACGGAAAACGACGAAACTGTGACCCGAGGTCAACGAAACATTCCCCCTTTTCTTCTCCTTCATAAACAATCGTCATGGAAAGGAAAAATTTTTCATGGCATCCGGAAAATTTTCTTTTCTCTTTAAATTACGCGCCTTTGTTTCAATCAAAAGCACGGGTCAAAAAATATACACGAGGTTTCTCAGAAGTCTTGCGAATCACGTAAAAATCTTCATTACATTTGAATGATTCACAGCTAACCCGTTTCAACAAATGATTGTTGGTTTATAATGAAAAAATGTAATTCCTTTGTTTCCAGAACGTGAATAATCCAATTTATTTCTAAAAGCCTTGTTGACTGCCGCAGGAAATCACACGTCCGCAAATTTATAAAATCCGCAAAAATTACGTGAGACCCAGTCGACATTTAAAAAACCACACAATTCTTGGAAGTAAATGTTTTTTGTCAATGTACAGCATCGAAAATAAGTTACCATAAAATTTAAAATTGTGATGAGAATTTTTTCGCTGTGAATGCGACTATTATAGGAAAACAGCATTTGCACCGAAGTCTCAGAAAAATTGTTTGCCGAAGCTTGAGGATCATATGCAAAATTTTGTGCGAGTGGATTTTTCAAAAGTCCCAATTGATTCATCACATCGTCATGTGCTTATATATTATAATGGATTTTAAACATAAATTAAATCGAAACAGGCAGAAATAAACCATCAGGTGTCATTCACCCGATATTATTAAAAATACGTTGGTTTCTTTGCAAGACATTTGAGAAACGCATCGTTCACGCATATATAGTCACTGGTCAGTGTTACGAGGCAATAGTTCTAATCCCGGGACCGCGACTCGACTGCGATTGCGACTTACGAACACTGACGATCGTCTTGGCGCCGAAATCGCCATCTTTCACCAACTTCCAGTCCTCAGTAGACTTATTCTCTATCCGGATAGAAGCAGTGGTAGTGGCTTCAGGACTGCTAGTCTCAGTGAGCGAGGAAGTAAAAGTGACTGTCGTTTTCGCATCCGAACGTGCGACAGTCGCCTGATTGCTGCGACTGACCCGCTGCTGCTGCTGCTGCGACGAATGAACTCTGCCGCCGTCCGTGGAAGACGATCGCGACACAATCACGCTTAAACCGGATAGGTGTCGCTCTACACCTCCGCCGCCGACGAACGGCTTCTCGCGGGTGTGTGCTGCTGCTGCTGCGACGAATGAACTCTGCCGCCGTCCGTGGAAGACGATCGCGACACAATCACGCTTAGACCGGATAGGTGTCGCTCTACACCTCCGCCGCCGACGAACGGCTTCTCGCGGGTGTGACGCGTAGCGGCGGCGTCCGGCGACTTGTTGACTACGGCTGGGCCCTGGGTTTCCGACTTGGACACCGACACGGCCTGGCGGAGCTCCGCCGCCGTTTCGGCGCCCGGGAGGAGATCATCTCGCAGCAAGAGCCCGGATTTCGCACTGAACTGCTCCACTTGGGCGTCCCCGACTTCCGAAGAACGCCCGAGCAGGTCGGCTTCTTCATTACCGCTTCTTTTCGGCGGGGTTTGTTGGAAATGATACCTGTAATCCAGACACCATCAAAAATATGTAAAATATGAAGCAATACCTTTACAATTATATTTTCTTATCTCTTCCAATAACTCGTGATATTTATTCAAAGTCGTAAAGGAATGCGACATGCATTTTCACCGGGACTTAAGGCAGAAACTGTAAATCAAAGGAAACACGACATCCTCTAAATTGCTGATTCAATTTTCTCGATAATCTGGAAAAAAGAGGCGCAAATCTTAAAGTGCTTTTATAACCTGCTCGTTGACAAAATTTTAAAAGAAATAATTGAAATGTGAAAGTATCGTATACAGTACCAGTAAAAACTCCTCCCGCAACAACAGATCAGTTCCTCGTCGTCGCTTAAAATTATCTGATCTTGTAAATTTCAGATGCTTAAAAATGTTGACGTGATATCTGAAGGACGTTCAGAAAGAATAAAAACTTTAAAATAGATTTACAAGTATTTTCCTCTCTTAGAAGAGTTCAGTTTTCTTTCCTTCTTCCGTTCTCTTTGATAAAAGATTGGTAGATCAGCACAAGAAATTTTGTTTTGTCATGCACAGAATGCGATCTTCTCAGGAAAATGTATGTCTACAGAATACAGTATATGCATTACAGTATTTCTCACACCTCTATAATTCACTCAAACCACAAAGAATCTTCAAAGCTAGATTTTATAATCTCACATCCGAGTATGTACAAGGACTAGGAAGAATAATTAAGTAAAGTAATAAATCGATCGGGAATATTCAAGTTTAAGTCATCATACAGTGCTTTATATATCGTTAAAGAGGAAATTTTAATGCATGCACAAATGAAGAAAAGCGAATTGACGCGTGCTTTTGGCGCCATGGAAGGTTGATTGAGTTTCCATGTGTAAAAATCTTAAAGGAAGCGATGATTTATTTTGCTTAATTCTGACTAAAAGCAATTTTTCTCTCGCCTTCTAGGCACAGTCGTAAAAAATGCGAAGCTCTTTTCGTGGGTGCTCAACCCACTTTTTTGTGGAAACACAGTGAAAAACGCTGATTTTTACGAAGGTTGATTGCGTTGACATTCATCGCATTCCGATAGAAATTCTGTTTCTCAGATGCGTATAACAATGGATTTTATTGTTCCTGAAAGGATCTTATTGATGCCATTTAGTTTCAATCTGCAAACCTTTTTCCTACTGTATTTCAAATGTGGCGAAATCTTTGAGCAATATTTCGCCATTAATGCCTGATTTCTGAGATTGAAACTTCTGTGCGATGCTTTCCTGAAATTTAATGGTTCTTTGTTGGCCGAGGAAAATATTCGCTTCATTAACAATCGATTTCAAAAGCTATTTTTAAAAGCAGCATTTCAAATTATCAGATTCAGACAGCTGGAGAAATTGGACTGCGACGACGTGGAAACCATTTCACAAAGTATTTCCTCGGCCCTTTTTTTCGTTCTTTTTCTGGCAAATAAATGAAGTTATCGCCATGAATGTATAAACAATTTAATGAAGTTCAATTTAAAACTAAAGGAAAGCTCGTAAAGATTTAATTAAGCAAGGGTTATAAAAGTTTTGAAATCGGCACACCTCAATTTTGTTCACTTCACTTCTGCCGTGTATTTATTTTGATTATCATTACCGACTCTTCTGACTACTTTCTACGAGAATATTATCCCAATCATGATTTTATTCCAGTTATTCATTGCATAATTGAAACAAGACAAGATAAATGAACATTGATCATGTGAATTGATGACATTTTCCCACTTCTTCCTTTCCATATATCGCCTTTATTTGGCGAAATTATAAGCCGAAGTGTGGCAGAGAATGAGCTGGAAAATTACTGCATTATATACCTTTAAAAAATTTTCGTTTGAGAAAATCATGAGCCATATTTTATTCAACCTTTCATCATAGAGCATTCTTTGGTACGCCCTCGTTTTTTATTTCAACATAACGTCTTGTCATGGATGTGAAAAAAAATTACGATTACAATTATTGAATTTTAAAAATCTTGCAGTTCTCAATAAAGTTGCGGAGAGCAATGTTGTCTTCGTTTTCGTTTTGCATTTCGAATTTGTGCACAAACCTTTTTTCTTGAGGGTGTTAATCCTTGCATTTTTTTCCGTGTTCATATCCGGAATATTTCAAAACAGAACGAGCTAAATAAATAAATCGTATGGAAAACCCAAGTAAATATTGTTCATCCTGCAAGGTAGCTCCATTCGAAACATCTGAACTTTGGAAGTTGAATTTAAAGGGACCAGCAAAAAATTCCACTTGAAGAGGCTGAGAGTTGGGGAAATGAGCATTTTTGTAGTGGGAAATGTGGAATAATTTTTGGAAATTGCACATGATGATATTCTGGGTCTTAAATTGCTTCTTGAATGAGTTTACAGCATGCTGAACTTGGAGGCAGGGATTCATTTGCCCAATCAGTCTTTCACTTCCTCACAAAACACACCAAGTTACTCTTTTACTCTTTTTCTCTTCGCCCTGTCAAGAAAAAATAGCCAAAAGGCCTTGGAAAATTTGACTCTTGCAGCGTTTCAAGACGAAAAGCTTTCCTGTAAGGAAGGTTTATTAATCAATTATTTCTAAGGCAATTCTGGCAGGGACTTGCAAAAAATTCGACTTGGATAGGCTTGAGTTATCCATGGCACAAATTTTATTTGTCTGATTGATTGCTCAAGTTTTCAATTTATTGCTTTCACTCATTCGTCAATTAATTTGGTTTTTTGCAGCCTTTTCTTGTTCACGTTATGCAGGGAAGGGAGTTCACTTCTGGATTCCAGCAGGGAAACAAACAAAAAATGTTTAAAAAAAAAAAAAGCAAAAGAATGGTCCTCACCTGAAGCCCTGGTCACCATCTCGGTGGTGCACCAAGTGGTGGTAGGCATCCTTCACCTCGCTCTTGACTTTCTCGGAATCCGTGCCCGTCGTCGGGTACTCGTCTCCGTCTGAACCCCGGCCCGAATCCTGGGCACCACCATCACCAACACTGGCACCCAACTGACCCTCACTGCTGGGCTCCACAGCATCGGCGCCGTCGCCTTGATGCTCGCTGCCAAATAACTCCTGCTGTCGCGAGTGGCGCCCTCGGCCCAGATGGTGGTGGTGGTGCTCTTGTCCACTCAACTGCGTGGACACGAAGTAAGACGACTTGGGTCGATTCACTTCCGAGTAAGTATGCACTTTGGGCAGTTTGTTTTGGTATCGACCCGAGTCTTTGTCACCTCCGCCGCCGCCGCCGCCGGAACCAGCGAGGGATTTCCGCGTGGCCGCCGACACGACGCTCGAATCATCACCCAATGCCACGTCGTCAAACGGTGTCGACGACGACGACGACGACGACGGTCGAGACGAACGAGTCCGTTCCCGAGTCGAATGTTCGCGGACGGAGAAAAAGTTGGAGTCACTGTTGGACAGTTTGCCGGAAGAGACGAAAGCGACGGACTCTTTGCTCGGTTGCTGCACTTTGGTGGAGATGAACTCTTGGACGCTTTCCGACCGGGATGGCGGCGGAGCGGACGGAGGGTGGCGCCGTGGCGCCGGAGGTGATTGCGAATGTGGCACTCGGTTGCCCACGTCGCCCTTGCCGGACAGAGTCGGGCGCAGGTTGGGGCGGATCACAGCCGGGGACGGACTCGGCGTCGACACAAAAAAGCCTGCCAATTCAAAAAAAAAAAAAGCGATGAAAAAATAAAAATAAATAATGTCTCTCCACTCTGCGTCTTCTAAAAATAAACGCAACCGGCATTTCTGAGAGCCAACATCAGGCAACAAGAAGGATTTAAGAAAATTACTCATTTCATCAGTGAATTTAATTATTCATACTCAAAATCATGTAAGTATCTCATTTGAATTGGCCCAATTTTGAAAATACGCCGCATCCTGAGGCAGCAATTAGCCTGGCTAACACAGCTTAACCATATTTAGACCTAATAAAAAGAAATAAAGTAATGGCGACACCTGGACATAATCGAAAGAAACAGTTTATTGAGGGACAGCAGTGAGCTTTCAAGAGATGCCGTACAGTCAGTACGTACAGTACAGTACTGTAAACAAAAACGGCCAAAACTTGAATAACATACTATTTAAAAATTTATTTAACTCCTCTATTAGTGTATGCTTAGTAAAATTGGCAAACTGAGGGGGGACATAAATTTAAAGACCCCTGATGGCGGTTGCTGGAATTACGACTAGTTCTGTTTCTCACTTTGCCAGAGGTGTCGCCTGAAGCACAATCCTGACGTTAAGATAACCCGATACAGTACTGTAAAATTCAGGATAAACCAAGTGTCCTCAATCGAATCTAACCCCAATTTTAGCCAACTGTCAAAGCATAATCTTAATCAGACAAGCAATCATATTCAACGTATTTCAGAAGACACCCATAAATATTGCCATACATCATGGTACGTACGAAGGACAATACTAGGACTCGTAGGCATTATAGGCAAAATATGATACGATAATTGTAAAATGGTGTTGAGGCAGATTGGAAAAGGTTTTAAAAAAAGTGCAGGTAGCCCACGATTTAGTGCCACCATAGCATAGTGCCACAAATTTCCGTGGAACAAATCTTTCTCCATTGTGTTTTCAAGGGAAACCCCCATATTTTGTGCCAACTCAACTATAGTGTGATGAAAAATAAATGCCTTGAATGAAAAATGGGTCAACATCATACAAACTAAGGTCTTTTCTGCGAAATCATTGGGCTATCACTCATCAGAATCACATACCCATGATCAAATCAGACTCTGGATAAGTTTATTTAAAATTTTATTCATGAAGTGGGAGCTTTCCTCGAAACATTGGTGATTCCTGTATTATAAATGGCACATAATGTATAGCTGTAAAACTCAAAATCAAGCATAACTTCAACAAAAACACTCTGCTCTTTTACTGGACACAATGTGCACACTCATCTGGCATAATACCGGTATTTTGTCTAACTGAATACTGTACTGCATATTGAAACGCAGCATGAAAAATTAATTTTGAACTTCAATTTATTTTTCACGAGTTTCTCTCACATAAAACAGTCTCAGTGGCAGATAAATTACACGGACAAGCTTATTTGAGTAAATAGGAAGTCCTCGAGTAGACATTTCACTCAAATGATCCCCTTAATTTGGTACCACCTTCGCTTTGGGCCACATACTGGACCAAGACAAAATGCTAGCACTCAATTAAGGCTTGAATCGATTTTAAATTCTCCTTGTGCCCACGTAGTACAAGTAAGAAAGCGAGGTGAAAAACAAAATTATAAAGACCTGATGTGGGTCGCTGGGATAGGAACCCATTCTGTTGTTCATTTCCCCGAAACACCTGCTGCTGTTTGCTCCTCGTCGTTGTCGTCGTCGACATCGTCGTCGTAGTACTGGCAATGGTCGTCGACACCACGGGTACTGGCAATGTTGAACCGGATCTGAAGGTGCCTTTCGGTGGCGCCGGCGCCGGATACACATTTCCATTCTCATCCACGTACTCGTACTCGTAATCCTGCGGCACTTCTTCGTAGTAAAAGTAGTCGTACTCTGGGTTCGGTTTGGCAGTCGAAGAAGACAATTGCTGCAGCTGTTGTTGTTGTTGTTGTTGTTGTTGTTTTTGCTGCTGCTGCTGCTTGACGTCGAACCCGGGGTCAGGGTTGCTGGGTGACGGGGTCGGGCCTTCACCTGATCCACTGTACGAGGGCTCTATTGACGCCATCGTCGTCGACGACGGGGATATTGAGGAAGATGACGTCGTGATGGCGACGGGTTTTTTGTCTGACGAAGGCGTCGTTCCGCAGTCAACTTCCCACCAATTGGCGCAAATGAAGTTCTTTTGGTCGAACACCGTGTCGTTTGGGCAAAGAAACCTAAAATCTCGAACCTGCAAGAATGAAAAAAAAATGAATAAAAATTTGCCGCCAACGCCAATTTGCACCAGAAACAGATTTACACGCACTTCCATGATGAATAATATGAGCACCAAAGATTAAGTGGGATGCTTCAACTGTTACTTTTCCCGGTTGTTTCAGTACTTGCAGAAGGAGTTCTTTGAGTACCGAAGGTCCTGGATCGCAAAACACGGCTGTAAAGTTGCATCTGTATGTTTAGTCACTATAAGAATGTACAGTACAGTACTGCACTTCAATTGAAAACATACCTTCTGCAGTTTCTTATCATAACACTTATCAGAAATTTTTTTATTGGGAATACGTTTAACATCGTCACGAAAAAATTTTCTAATGCGATCAGCTTAAATCATTAACAGTAATTGAAAAGCCTGCATATTAATGGTAAACGAAGTGTGAGAAATAATGCTCAATTTCCTTGCAGAGTCAGGTTTTATTTGCAAAACACTTCTTTCATAAATTTAAACCAGGTGAGCCAAAATTTGGGCACATGCGGTGGAGAAAACCATGCAATTTTAACTTTTCTGAAAATTGAAACCATCTTCAATTTTCTATACATCCGAAAGACTCTCGGAACAAATAACAAAGTACTCTAATGTGAAAATTTATGAATCAAACCTATCATTCAATAATTGGTATTCATTCTAATTAATAATTCTAGGGATGTTGAAATTCGAATGTTTTGACATGGGATTCTTCGGAAGCGATGCTTTAAGCTTTTTTTTTTTAATTTGCGTGACACCATAATTTTTTTCTCATCTATGTGTTTTTTTTCTCACACTTTATATTTTCTTGTCATTTCCACTGGAAACTGTCTTGTAATTGATGCTGGAAAAAAATTCCTCGTGCAGATACCAAGTATTGAAAAGATTTTTCGAGAATTTTAGGACATTTTAATAAATCATGCAATCCAGTAATGCTAAAATTCGAATACGTTGATATCGGCTTTTTTGGATGCGACGCTTCACTTTTTTTATTTGCGTGATACCATGCTTTTTTCATCCATGTGCTTTTTGTTATTGCTTGCATCTTCTTGGCATTGACTCTATAAATTGTCCTGTTGTCATTGAAAAAATACAAATCCCTCGTCGTGTATACACCCAATAAGTATTGAAAAGCTTTGTTCCCGAATTTCCAGAACCGGGAATCTTCCCGCTATGATGACCACATTAACCTTGATTAACTCACCCTTAACATGCACAATTAACCCAATGACAGCCATTCGATCACACGAACCACAAAAGCTGCCCCAAAACAAGGTCGAACAAGGCAACAACCCATTACAACAGTTATTGCATTAGCAAGCAACGCGTGACTAGAAATGGTGTCAAATACGCATCAAGAAGCTACAACAATTCATCGGATGATTTTTTTATGCCAGAAAAAGGAACACTTATGATGCATTAGCGTCATTAGAAGAAGGGTTGTTATGGAAGAGATTCAGGGAATGCTTTTGAAGAAAGAACGTGATACAGTCATTCATTCGCATAAGAAGCATTTCTTATCCGAAAATACCATCGTCGGGACAATGAAGCTATGACGGAATAGATTTCATACAGAAAAAAAGGAAAATCTTTTCTGCCAACAGAATTCATTAACGAGGATGTTATTCAACAGTTTCGTCAGTCTTTTGCTTTAGTCGTCAAAGTATTTTTTTTTTAGCTATGACGGAATAGGATTCATACAGAAAAAAAGGAAAATCTTTTCTGCCAACAGAATTCATTAACGAGGATGTTATTCAACAGTTTCGTCAGTCTTTTGCTTTAGTCGTCAAAGTATTTTTTTTTCATGAATGACGGTAATTCAACATGCGTTTTTATTGCTTTTATTTACATCGTTCTTGAATGAACTCGGACAAGGTCACAACATAATTTTGACTCAGGGAGGTTTTCGACCTGAAGATGATTGAGTTATCAAGTTTCTGCTGTACTATTCGCAATTTTCCGACCCATTATTCCCATTGATGCGAAGAAATACGAATTTTGTCCAGAATAAAGAGGCCTACTCGACAAAATGGCACGCAATTAAAAGTACGCATGAGATACTCATCCCCGTATTTTTGATTTTTATCTGAACTTGATGTTTGGGTATTGGATTTTTTTCCCGTTTCAAGACAAAGTTGGGTAACTCATCTTGTGAAGTGAGATTGAGTAAGTTTAATATAGCGATAATTACAGATAAGACGCGGGTCGGTTTGTGCCCCAATAAATTGCTGATGCGCAAAAGATAAATCAAAAACAACAAATATACTAAAACTAGATAAACTCTTTGCAGCAAGTTTAAATTCATGCTTGTGATGCATTTCCAGAAAATTAACCCCGTCAAGAGTCTTTAAATTTTTTTGGAAGGTCTGTCCGAGTAAATTCAACGATGAACTTTAAAAAAAAAAACCCTGGGTTTCAATAATTTTTTTTAAAGCAATGAAATGAATGCATCATCCTCACCTCAGTGGGCCCAACTTGGACACACACGTGAAACATTTGGCAGTGAGCCTGGGCGTCGGCATAGTAGCCGCCGACGATTTTGTTGCGACAATCGAACGCCGTGTCCGGCATTTTGTAGACTGAGTAGTTGGGTGGGGCCGTCAGCTGGCCCAGGCAGCAGGACACCAGGGCACTCAAAACCACACCGGCCACGAACCACGTTCGACTGGCTAGTGGACTAGTGATCTTCCTGCAGCTGCCTGCATATCGGACACGGCAAAACGAAGGCCGTTTTGTGCCTGGATTTGAAGAAGAATAAAATAAAAAATAAAAACAATTCGTCGATATCAGGAAAAGATCGATAATCATGTCAGCGTGTCATATGCAAATTTTTCGCAGAATTTCTCAGTTCAAGTTCAGTTCAAAAAATTGGATTGAATATTCAGTACCAATAAATAATAAAATTGTATGATTTTTCTTTCACGTCCGACAACCCTTTTAAAGGTGTCGGCAGCATTCAAGGTGAAAATAGATTTCATATAATCACGATAAAAAATTTAGAAGTTTTTTTATGAAAGACAGGGACACGTCTCACAAGAAGAAAGACGTCTGAAATAAAGGCACAGGAAATTGCGTACGTAGTAATTTGCCCAACAATAAAAAGAGTCAATCAAGAGAAACTACTGTATATGGAATCCTAAGGCAATAAACTGACATTAGTTGAGGCATATTTCGCAGAAGGCCTTGAACAATTTAATAAAATAGACATGAACCTTCGTAGTTCACCGGGATTGTTATATTATTGAACAGATAAATTTTCACTTGAAGTTAATCACACATCATTTACAACACATGTTCAGCAACATATATGCTTTTGATGCCAACATCTTTATTCACTGATGAAATCAGTACTGTATTTAGCATTTTACATAAAAATAAAATACAATAAAAACTACGCATAAGCGGGCTGAAAATAGCAACCAAAGAGGACGCGGTGCGTGATCACAGTAATTTTTGCCATCTTCAACACAAATTAAAACGCCATTTCCTTACTGTAATTATTCTACTGGGAAGGAAAATATCCCGGACATGATGACAGACAGACGAGAAATAAATTCGCTGACACGCAAAAAATTGAGTTCGAAAATTGAGCAACCGGAAATCCATCACGGCAAAAAAAGGATGGGTTGGGAGTGATTCAACACGAAATCATCAATCAAACATCCTTTTCTTTTTAGAAGTTTTTTTATGAAAGACAGGGACACGTCTCACAAGAAGAAAGACGTCTGAAATAAAGGCACAGGAAATTGCGTACGTAGTAATTTGCCCAACAATAAAAAGAGTCAATCAAGAGAAACTATACTGTATATGGAATCCTAAGGCAATAAACTGACATTAGTTGAGGCATATTTCGCAGAAGGCCTTGAAAAATTTAATAAAATAGACATGAACCTTCGTAGTTCACCGGGATTGCTATATTATTGAACAGACAAATTTTCACTTCAAGTAAATCACACATCATTTACAACACATTTTCAGCAGCATATATGTTTTTGATGCCAACATTTTTATTCACGGATGAAATCAGTTCTGTATTTCGTATTTTACATAAAAATAAAATACAATAAAAACTACGCGTAAGCGGGCTGAAAATAGCAACCAAAGAGGACGCGGTGCGTGATCACAGTAATTTTTTGCCATCTTCAACACAAATTAAAACGTCATTTCCTTAATGTAATTATTCTACTGGGAAGGAAAATATCCCGGACATGATGACAGACAGAGGAGAAATAAATTCGCTGACACGCAAAAAATTGAGTTCGAAAATTGAGCAACCGGAAATCCATCACGGCAAAAAAAGGATGGGTTGGGAGTGATTCAACACGAAATCATCAATCAAACATCCTTTTCTTTTCTTTCATTTTTTTCTTCTGCAAAAAGAAGACTATAGCACCAATGAGACGCCACCCACAGGGCGCACAAGGCAAGAGAGAACCAACCAATTTCATTCGACATTGCCCCAGTTGTGATGCAAGGCCAAGGACGATTTGAGTTTCCGATAAAGGCTCGAAATGATGACTCGGCGGAAATCATGTTTCTTCACATGAGCCACCTCCACGCAGGGGGTTGAAATAAACTGCTTGAGAGAAAGAAAATTGAATGATCGAAAACCCCGATCGAACATATGCTGCTGAGGTGAACTCGAAAGATCTTTCATGTTTTGTTTGTAATCCCTCATGTTTCTTCCGATGCATTTCCAGAAAAATCGATCCCTTTCAAAAAATTTATTAAAATGTTTTAAAAATGCATGCGCAAGTATTTTTCAGCTAGCTTTGCTATTTATCCCATGATACGCATTAAAATATTCAAGATCGCGCGAATCAACGATCAATGTACCAGGAAAAAATTTGAGAAAATGTTAAAGCACCAGTAAGTACCTTGAAATGCAATTTTTTAAAAATACTCATGGTAATTTCTTTGAAAACCCTGTGGGAGTGATTAAAAAAATATATGAAACGAGCATCGGTAAAATTCCGAAGAATTTTATTGAACAGTGTAGCTTTGACTTGGGCAATTTATCGCTCATCAATGGATATTTTAGTCCAGCCCTATTATTCGTAATCAGTCAAGTAAAAATTTGAGACTGTTCCAGATTTTGATTAGAGCATAACATTCAATATCTGGGGCACTGTGACTATAAGAAAAATGTTCAACCTAAAAAAAACGTATGCGAGAAATCCATCCAGCGATGATGCTTATTTCCATTTTAAATTGTTTTCAGATCTAATTTACTAATCTGCACGAGTAAACATTCCTGCGGGTGTCAGGAAATCATCAAAATGCCTCAAACCGAACTACGACCAGCTCTATTCATCCACAAAAAGACCTTCAACTATAATGAGTAAGAGAAATGGCAAAACCTCAACAGCCAATTCTCACAGATTCATTTCCGGGATGTCACCATTCCAAAGTTCCAAAAATGTCAAAGAAATTTTAAAAACCTATCGATCAATTGACAGATTGAATCCGGAAACGTGACTTTTTCATTCCATTGAAAACAGTCTATCATAAATATGACACAGTATTTTTTGATGTCCCCTCGGATTCGTCGGTTGATTGAGTTCCTATTCCATGCTGCCCCCGTATCCCCTAGCTTTCACTTCCTCATTCTTTGAGTTCAAGTTTCGATGCTCTTTCTCACAATTAGACTGGATTTCAGCAAAGAAACTGAGCTAATTTCTCAACGAATAATGGACTAAAAAAAAGTGTATTAATCGAGCGTTTGCTTTTGGAAAGCACTTCAGCAAATAAACACCCTCTAAAGATTTATTTCAAACTATACAGTCAGCCTGAAGAACTGAATAACAGCGATTCCCACAAAGGGTACTTCGACTTTTAAGATGTATTGTTAAAATATAAAAGAAGTAACAAGGTCGAAACGCTGAAGGAAAGTCTCAATTTTACAGGTACCCGTGATATTGAGACTTTCAACTTTTCTAGTCCATTATTCAACGAGAAATAATGCTCCTCAGTACTGTACTTATTTGTTTATGATCGAAATTTAGAGCAAATATATGTACTGTACAATATATTTGTTTTACTTGCCAAAGCTTTGCTAAGGAATTCAGCATTTACGATTATTCGACAAGAAAAAATGCTCCTCTGTACTTATTTGTTTATGATCAAAATTTAGCGCGAATATATGTACAATATATGTTTTTATTTGCCAAAATTTAGCTTTGCTAAGGAATTCAACATTTACGTGCCTTCCGCGAAAGATTAAATGGTTAAAAACACACTTAAAGTCTTATTTTCTTCACGTGAAGAAAATACGTCATGAACTGTGTTTTTCTAGCATTTTCTTCACGTGAAAAACTAAGACTTGAAATGTGTTGTTTAACCGTTTAATCCTTTGCGGAAGGCACGTAAATGTTGAATCTTTATAGCAAAGTAACGTTTTGGCAAGTAAAAAGAATTTTTTGTACACATATTCGCGCTGGATTTCGCTGGATTTCGATCATTAACAAATAAGTACTTAGGAACATTATTTTCTTGAGGGATTTAAAGCTTTTGAAAGTATAAGCGAAGTGCCACTTTTTCCACCAAAAATTTAGTAACTATAAAATTGACGCTTTCGAAACGAGCGAATCATAAATTCCTCCAATGAACCTGATCATATTTTCAATTCCCTGGCAATGATATGATTCTTAGCAGGCTTTATTGAGTTCCTCAATCAAGGCAAATATTCCGCCTCTATATTTTATATTTCCAGGAAGGCATATATATTCCTTCCTTCCTGTGTCTTTTCTCAGAATTAATCTAGAGCCGTTTGCGGTTATTTCTCAGAGAGACTTGCAAAACGCTTTAGCAAGACTCTCTTCAAATCTCTATATCTTTGTAGGTTTGTGTGATTGTACAATTTGTAATATTTTGTGACTTGAATATATACTGACTATATTTTTATTGGAATCATAATTTTATTTACCTTGGTTCACGAACAACACTCATGATTTTAGTTTAGAAGACATTTAAGTCCTCTATGCATTAGTTTCAGAGCAAGATTTGGTTGGTCCAAATCATTTATATTCGAAGGTTCCGCGTTACAATGCAGTATCTGAAGAGATCATAAACAAGCGTAAATGAAATTATGTTTGTTCCTTCATCAAATTCGAGTTGTTTTTAAAAGGGATATTTTACTTGTTTCAACAGCACCAAGTACTGGGTGCTCAAAACGAGCAACAAATGCCCACTTGATGTCCCTGAATAAGTGATGGCCGTTCTTTCGTTGCACACCAGTTCGGGGGCGTAACAAAATTCATGGGATTGGGTGCCACAAAAAAAAAAAAAAGCTTCACGACCGTCTTCGACTCGCTTTCAGTAATGCATTTGTCATCTTGACTCAGGTAAAATGCTGACATCACACGCAACTATTACCGAGAGACGAATGGCACACGCCAAGGAAATTTTTAGTTTTGGAAAATAAAATCTGAACCCATCGACAATAAAGGAAGGGCAGCGTTTCCATCCGTATCTCTAAAAACAAAATGAAGCTCCCGACACCACGAATGAATTTCCTACCTCAAAATTATCTCATCAAAATATTTTCGGCTACGTAAATAAGCAATTTTGACATTTTTCGATATTCGATAGATAAATTATTGATCAGAGACAGTTGAAAGGAAAAAGGCTCGATGTTCATGGAGATTTAAACGCTTCTGTTTCTGATACTCTTATATATGGAATTATTTGATTTTCCATT